GTGGAGGTCTGCAGGGAGTTGGAGGAGGAGAAAGGAGGCAGCCATAGCCACCACTTCAGTGTGTGAAGTGCTGGGGAGGTGCTCGCGCTGTCAACGCGCCGTCGACGACCATTTTCTGTAAGGTGTAGGGGTTATGTTGCACATGGCAACTATAATTGGAGAAGTGTTGGGGAGATGCTGTGTGGTTTTTGCTGCGACGATAGTTTTTTGCTGACATACTGCGGGGGCGCTGCAGAATTTTTTTCGGCGGCAGCTATGATTTTTTTTGCCAGCGACGCGGAAGCGCTGCCGGATTTTGCGGCTGCAGCACTGGGTTTAACGACAGTGGTGCGGAAGCGCTGCCGGATTTTTGCGGCGGCAGCACGGGTTTTAACGCCAGTGGTGCGGAAGCGCTGCCAGTTTTTCACGGCGGTGGCGGCAATGACATTTTGATGGGGGGGTGCTGCCGAACTAATGGCGTAGTGGCATCAAGTGTTGACCGTTTGGCGGCACGACAATGGCGATGTTTTTTTGTGAGATTACGCTGCTAAAATTTTGGTACCAGCGGCACTTCAGTGGGAACTGCTGCTAATGTTTTTGGCACGGCGGCGTGGTACTGGTTTTGACGGCGCGGCGAGTGGCAGTTCCGCGCTTTATTTTTTGTGGTGTGCGGCAACTATGGTGGATTCTAATGGGGCCCAGAGGTTGGGTTAACGCCGGTGCACGTTTGGGATTGTGTGGTAGCGATGCAGGGGTCGGCGGCAAGAAGAGATCGTGGAGTGAGTGCTCCCAGTAGTGACTATTGGAGTTGCAGCGCTTGCGGTTCGCGCCGGAAACACATCTTTATTTTTTTTAGGCTCGCGGCACATGCGGTTTGGACCAGGGCCACCTTTATTTTTTTTGTGGCGCGCAGTGCAAGCGGTTTTGAGATTTGAACCATCTAGTATTGCGGCAATGATGTGGGACTGCATTGAGACCATCTGGGACCACTTTGGGACTAGGTGGGACTGGTTGTAGAGATCGAAACCGACATGTTGGTGTGGCTATTGTGAATGGACATGGTGATGGGAGGCGGCTTGGTTGGGGAGTATCCTTGGTGGTGAAGGTGCAGTGGGGACTGCATTGAGACTGTGTTAGGACGGCATGGTACGTCGGAATGACGTGAGATTTGATCATGGGAGCGCCCTCTTTGAGGGTTATCTCATTCAGACATCTTATTGGACCCAACCTTGGTGTGATCGGGCACTTGGTGGAGGATGCGCACTGTGGTTCAGGAGAGAGGCCACAACTTCTGAGTTGTGTGCCGCATAATTTTCTACGACGGTCGTTTTCCTTTGATTGATATATTACCCGACTTTCTTAAGTGAGCCGGATCAAACTTCACTCAAAGTCAGTCGGTTGAATGACTCAGACTTTCCTTCACACCTGTGAGAACCCACACTTTGCTTGACCTTGTTGTTTTGAACGTTCGAAAGAAAAGGTAGAGAAAGTGGTGCGAGTCATGCATGTGAACGGGAAGGTCTGACGTGAGTCCTGGATTGTACTGTTTTCTTTTGAATTTATTTTCTATGCATGTTGTGCAGGTGGGTAGATGGATGCATGTGAGAAGGGATCAGTATTGATAAAGGAATGATGGGAATATTCACCTTCTTTCTACTTTTACCTGTATGTATGTCAAAAGAAGGATACAGTGAAAAGGGTGAACTGTCGGGTGTCGAAAAGAAAAATGAAATTCGTGGAAAAAAAAGATGAAGATAAGAAAATAAATTAGGATCTTCACAAGGAACAACCCGTTCTATCCCGAATGACACCTTCTTTCTGTACCCGTCCAAAGAGATCTAAGTGCTTATCTCTATCTTATTCTTCTTTCGTCCAAGTCAAAACCCAGTCAGAGTATAGGGAAATGTCTACACCTATAATTAGGGTTCCTTCTCTCTAGGAGGCATCCGGGGCAGGGGTTCGTTGCTTTAGGAGCCGGCCCTGTTATTGGCCCGGAGTGGACCGTTGAACAGGGGAATACCATGCTGTATCGCGGTGGAGCCAGCCCAACTTCTGAGATTTGAACGTGTTCGGACGAGGAGGAGGGGTATTCCAGACCACTTTCTAAAGGGTAGGACGTCCTGTGGTAAAGGTAGACGACTGAATTCAACACCTTCTTTTGGGTGGCCGTCTTAGGCGCCACCACCGTATGGGGAACTGGTGCCAAAAGAAGCCCAACTCATGTTCGAATAGTGTCGAAGGAGTGCAAGTAGGCACTACCTTCATGGTAGGACCGTGACACAAGAATTACGGTCCAGGGAGGGAAAGAGAGTTGAGTACAGAGTTTGATATATATAAATTTATTCTGACAAAGTCATTATTTTGTCATTCAGATGTCCACAGGAGCAGTGATCCTTCGATTGTTTAGTACGCGAGAGGCAGCAATAGAATGGATAGAAGTGCTGACATGATCACATGCTGGCATGATACGAAAAGGACGCTTGGTCTATAATCCGCTCGAAGTTTTTCGGAACGGGATGGCAGGTACCAGCTCCATAGAATGGAGGTAGCAATAGAATGGATAGCAGTGCTGACATGATCACGTGCTGGGTCCGCTATGGCGGAGTTCTTCTTCTGGTGGCCACCTCAGCTATGGCGCATCAGGCCCTGTACACGACGACACGCATGGAATAGCGGGTACCAGCTCTGATACCAATGCAATCAGACTTGCTTTCATTCACACTTTTCATGTATGTAAATAGTAGCGCAGCAAACTGGCGACATGCGGCCACTCAAAATTCAGATATATGGCATCCAGATACGAGTTCACTCTGCTATGGCGACTCAGCGCCCAAACAACTCACTGTTTACATACACCGGATCATCCTGGATATCCCACACGCGTCACTCTGAACACTCACACCTACACACACACACACACTTCACACTAACTCTAGCTATGGCGGCTATGGCCGCAACTATCCTATCGCTATGCTACGCTCCTTCTCTCTCGCCCACTTCTGCTCCGGGCTCACTGCAGACCTCCTTGCATAAGTCGCTGTGGCAGCGCTTCCGCATGGCTCACGCAGGAATGAATGAATGGCTGGGCGCTGCCTCTTGATTTATACTTCTGAAACTCGTTGGTCTGCCCTTTGCCATCGGCCCATGGTGCTCACAGTCCCTTGTGGTACTTGCTGGACTGGACAGGGACTGACTGGACCTTACCGCTGACTGAGTGGGGACTCACTGCCAACCTACCACCGTCGTACTGCAATCACACTGCAGTTTAGTCCACCACTTGACTCACCACTTGCCCACTTGCCCACTTGCCGACCTTCTAGAAGGCTACAGCTAGGACTTCTTAACTTCGCTAAGACTTCTATTCGACAGACCTACAGATCGAACCCCTGCTACCTACGAACCTATGACAGCCTAATACACAGGTCACAGGTTCAACTCTCGGGGTCTACACAGGTACTGTACACAGGTTGGGCAAGGTCTATGGATCGAACCCTGGGGTCTGCGTCTGCTACTGCAAAGAGGTGAAAACCGTTTCAGTTCCAATTGGTGCTCAATTATTATTATTGTTATTTCCATTTCGCATGCATCTGTGCAAGTGATTTATTTTTATTTTGATTAGTTAAGGTGTTTACGGACAGCTGACACCTGACAAACAGCAATAGATTAGAACTGTCGCAGTCTACCATATCAAGTCCTGTTTATTGTTGTTGTTTGAGAACTGGTTGTAGGAGTAAGATCATTTGCTTAGTCTGTGTACATGCTATTCACATCATCTCAACAGTTGCCTGGGTTACGTGCCGAATATTTATTTTTGGCAACTCGGTCGGACACATGCTGCGGTAGATCCAAAGAGGACACCAGTGCAGACAGATCTGCTATAGCTGATGAGCGGAACTAGTAGTGAGGGGGAGGGAGCTGATGATAGAAGGTTGACACGCAGGGAGCACAGAATGCACCTGTAGTGTTCCAGGTTCTGTTACCAGGAGACGAGAGGAGATTGCGAGTAGAGAGGAGGGCAGGGTGTTTGCAAAGGGCTAGCGAAGCAGCAGCAGCAGCAAAGCGCGCATTAGCAATGACTGCTGCAGCAGCAGCTGCTTCACAGACTATACGGACACAAAGCCTACAGGTCTCATCGTCATCTTCTTCTTCAGGCTAGGCCTCATCCTCTAGTCAGATGGCAGGCTCGCAGTTTGGCCAGCCAAGTCCACCCACTAGGGAGAATCTAGAGATCCAAGAGGTAGCGAATCTCCGCCTTCAGTAGCGAATGAGCTCAGAAATGTAGCAACCAGAGAGAGGAAAGCAAGAAATAGAAAAGCTAGGCTGGAGAGCGGAGACGCTGCTAAGGCTGCATTAAAAGGATTCGACGACTGGACTCTTGATGACACAAGCAAGGTACTCAATGCAGGCATGCTGAGCATGTATGAAAACATGGACAGCAAACTGGATAATATCCAGTCGACCCTTGATCAGAAACTGAGGGCCATACTGGGGATGGGAAGACCAGTCCCATCCACAAAAGGCAAGCCTACCGTCTTCCCCCGAACACAATGCACCCTTATTTTGGCCGTATCTGGCCGGAAATATAGCTTGTATACATTCATTTTTAGGGTGCATTATGTTCGGGGGAAGACGGTAGTGTCAGGACGCAGACCGTTTTCCCATCGCCGTCAACGTTGCCAGCGATGTGAGGCACCTTTGTTCCTCAGTTTGGCATACCTTGTTAGATAGTTTGTCAGCGGCAGGTGCACAGACTGCTGCTTCTTCATCTTCAGGTCCAGCTGCTGCAGCTGCAGGGCAGCAGCCGGTCCAGCAACCTGTGCAGCAACAGGTTCCAGCTAGACCACAGTAGCAGTGGTTCCCAAAGATCCCGTCGTCTCCTCCTGAGACATTTTCAGGGGACAAGAAGAAGGAGAACCTCAAGACTTGGTTGACTGTTCCAACGTGGGTAAGGGCCAAGCAGACTTTTCCCCAAGAGGAAGTGATCGTGACTGCCTCATACCTTACAAGTTTGGCAGCGAGATGGCTAGATGGCATAGTTGCAACCCACGGCTTCGGTAGGAGGATGAATGATTGGGCGAAGGCCCAAGATTCAGACTCATTTATAGAGTTGGTAGAGGAGCGGTGGCACAACCCTCAGCAGGCACAGCAAGCCACTTATGTGTTGGCACGACTTGACAGGAAGAAGTACAAGACTGCCCGTGAACTTACCAACGCCGTAAAGAAACTCATCGTGGTCCCGAGTGTGCGCTATGATCCCCACGTCCGGCTGACCATGTATCTGAGATGTCTTCCTACAAACATCAAGAACATGTTAGTCAACGAGACTAGCATCGAAGTACATGATCTCGCTTCCTTTAGCAAGAAGGCCGTAGACTTAGAGGCAAAGCTAGGGGGTGCACAACAAGTTGTTGTAGACAGGAGAAAGAAGAAGGTCCTACAAGATTGGAAAAAGAAGGGTAGTCAACTGATAATGATTGATTCTGATGGGAATCAAGGGGAGATCGATGGCATTTCTGATCTTGTGGAGGACACGGAGTTAGGCGGCGAGGAGAGTGTAGAGGGAGGAAACCTCACCGCAACAACCAAACTTAAGGCAGATGGCCAACGTAAGGGTGGTCAGCAAAAGAGTCAGGGCAAGGCTCAAGTTTCGCCCAATGCACCAGCATGGGTGAGAGCTGATCTTGAACAAGACGTGTGGAGAGATCGTTACACGCGAGGAGTGGAGGATGTTCCCTCACCACTTCAGGGGTTGGCTGAGGCTATTGACTCACTTGTCATCCCGCAGACATGTCTAGACCAAATGATTCTTTGTTCGTTAGATGTGTTTGAAGCATTGGAGGACCCAGAGGAGTGGTCAGGAAGAGACCCTCGCGAGTTCTGGGTGACGATGTCTAAAGGTCCTAGAGAGGAGAACTTCGCGGTGGAAGTCATTGTAGGTGGCCGAATGTGTGGCGCCTTTGTAGACAATGGCTCCACATGGAACTTCATAAGTCGTGACTGTGTTGAGAGAGTGCGCCCAAAGGACCATGCAGCGACTAAGTAGATTTGTAGCTTCTACCTTAGCCAATAAGGAGCACATGGTTGTCCACGACTACGTCAAGGACATGGTCTGCATTTTCTCCTATGGAGGAGTGGAACTCAATCATCAGATTTCGTCCCTGGTTAGCGATGACTTATGTTGTGGGGTATGTACTACCTCGAGGTTGCAAAGCCCCAGTTTGACTGGGACCGAAAGATGCTTACGCATGTGTTGCCGGATGGGAGGACCGACTAGCTAAATACAAGGCTAGCAGGTTAGTTGACTCTTGCGGTTGCATGTGTGCGTCTACGTGACAATTATTATAAACAAAACCAAGCTGTTAAATCACCCCCAAAGATCGAAGTTGTCATCACTAAATACCTTGATCTATCTAAGGAGCCTTGGGAGTCATAGAAAGGGAAGTCGTTCATGCCATAGAAATCATCCCAGGCAGTAAAACGCCGAACGGGGGGATCTATAGGATGCCCCCGACCGAGTTGGACGAACTTCGGCGGCAACTGAAGGAGTTTATAGAGAAGGGTTGGATACTGCCTAGTACATCTTCCTACGGTACACCAGTCATATTTGTTCAAAAGAAAGCGGGATCACTGAGGATGTGTATCAACTATAGAGGCCTCAATACCATCACCGTTAAGAACGCAGAGCCTCTACCCCGCATTGATGATCTATTGGATAAGGTGCATGGATGTAGATACTTCACTAAGATAAACTTCATATGGGAGGATCAACACCGTTAAGAATGCAGAGCCTCTACCCCGCACTAAGTCCGACTACCATCAGATTGCCATCATATGGTAGGATCAACACAAAACCGTTTTTCAAACCAGGTACGATCTGTACGAGTTTGTGTTGATGCCTTTCGGCATTTCCAATGCGCTCGGTACATTATAGCACGCCATGAATAGGGTATTCCATGACTACTTAGATAAGTTTATCGTTGTGTACCTCGACGACATTCTTATTTTTAGTAGGACTGTTGAGGAGCGCGTGAAGCAGGTTGACCTTGTGCTTGGAATCCACCGACAACAAAAGTATAAGATCAACTTGGAGAAATGCGAGTTTCGTCGCACCAAGATCGTATACTTGGGTTACTAGATACCGCAGATGGACTAGGATGAAAGATGAGCATTCGGGTCAGTCCCGAATGCTCATCTTCCATCCTATGATGGAAGATTCCATCATGATGGACACCATCTGCAAGCTCGAGGCCAAAGACAATGCCACATTTGACGAGTTTGTAATGGTGGATGATTACTCTTCCTTGAGAAGGCAGGGTTTAAAAGATTGTGTGTACCGCCTAGTGAATCTTTGTGTAGTTTGTTTCTAGGAGAGTGTCATGATGCAACTGGACATTTAGGGTACAAGAAGACTAGTGCTAACCTGCTACAACGTTTTCGGTGGCCATCTATGCTTGATGATGCACAACGCTATGTACAGACTTGTCAAGTCTGTCAATGGAACAAGCCGAGAACTCAAGCACCACTTGGGTTAATCAAGCCCCTGTCCATTCCTGCTGGACCAGAACAAAGTGGTTCCATGGACTTCATGGACACCCTCGTGACCAGCAAGAGTGGCAAGAGACATATCTTTCTCATAATAGACCAGTTCACCAAGTACGGCTAGTGGTCATGCCAGAAACTGCAAAGACTGAGCACGTCATCATGTTATTTATGGATAAATGGGTACGTGATTTCGAACTGCCCAAGTCGATTGTTAGTGATAGAGATGTCTGCTTGACCAGCAAGATGTGGAAGGAAGCTGTTGAACAGATGGGCAGCCAACTCCAAATGACTTCAGGGAATCATCCTGAAGCCAATGGCCAATTGGAGCAGATGAACCTCGTGGTACAACACCTGCTGTGGAAGAAAGCGGCTGAACAGAAGGGTATCAAGCCCAGCCAGGAGGACTGGGATGAGAAACTTTCTCTCATCGTCAGCCTGTACAACAACTTTGTTCACAGCACCACCAGTGTCTCTCCGAATGAGCTGCACCCCGGTTGGAACCCTAGATCAGCATTAGACTTTCCCCTTCCTGACAACTGACCAGCTGCGACACCTGGAAGCATTGAATTTGGGGTTCAGTATGAGAAACTGTTGCAGCAGGCTGTCAAGCATATCAGGAAATCTCAAACACAAACGATAGTCCACATTTCAGGTAGGAGAAAGAGTCCGGGCAAAGGCTAGTGAGTTATGACAGGAGTACAACATCTCTAGAAAGGTAATGCCTGAGTATTTCGGTCCTTGGGAAGTCTTGGATATTGTGGGTAGTGATCCGGATGGTCTCTCCAATGTGATTAGAATCCCGGGTCACCTGCGCACTCACCCTGTCTTTCATACTTCCAAGCTTGCACCTTTCACTGAGACTGACAAGTTCCCATCAAGGAGATCAATGCTGCCCCCAGCCATGGATGGCCACGTGGACGTTGACGACATTCTAGATTATTGAGATCTGTCTGTTCGAAACCCAGTTGGCAGAGGAAGACCGCCAAAACCTACAAGAGAGTACCGGGTCAGAATCAGGCATCACACGGATCCAAAGGAAGACCGTTGGCTCACAAAGGAGGAACTGATTAAGACAGCACCTCAGGTCGTTGCTGATTATGAACGAAGGTTGAAGGGGAAAGCACCTGCATACAAGCATCTCAGCGGACTTTCAAAGCTAAGGAGGAGGGAGCGTGAGGAATCAGACCTGGCAGTGGCCTCAAAGGCCGCGGCACCCGGCTGGCAAAGGGGCCCCCAGCAAGCAGCGTGCCCGCCCTAAGTGAAGGTGGGGCTGATTTATATGCGTCCCTATTTTTGTCATTTCTGCATGTTGGGGCCCCAGACAGTTGCACCGCGCCAGTTGGTTACAACGACCTCGCCAGTGAGAGCATGGCATCGTGCTCTTCTCAGCATTGACGTGGCCAAAGGCTCTCGGCCAATGAAAGCCAGGCAGCGGCGTGGCCGAAGGCCTTTTGGCCAATGGCAGTGCAGCGTGTGATGCTGGCCACATCGCACAGTTAGGCAGCTTAACTGCTGCGGTCCCAGGCCACTGTCTGAATGGCCGTGGGCGTAGATACTTTGGCCCAATGTGAAGCTACTGGGCACACACTCACCAGGCCCAGCGCAGCCAGAGGCAGGGCTCACTTTCCATATAGGAAAGTGAGCGCCCAGCCAGAAGGACATTCTGGCTCTGCAAGACCGGGCGGCCATACTGCTGCATTGAGAGCAGGAGGCTGCGAGGGCGCTGGTCGACCAGAGGCGCACACAGGCACACAGAGGAGAGAGGGCACAGCTGGGCAGCAGGTGCTGAGCAGCCATAGCCAGGCTGGCTCAGCGGAAGCTGGTAAGGCGATGGTGGTCTTCGAGAAGAGGCACACAGTAGGGGAGAGAAGGGGGTGAGGACGAGGGTGTAGAAACATGTACCTGGTGTATGCAGCAGTTTGCATTGGCGGCTTCGTCAAGTACATTGGTCTTCAGCATGAAGTGACTCCTGTTGCATATGCATAATGTAGGCTCGAGTAGGTGCTGAGTAGGATAGGCTGGGCGCTGAGCGCCAATCAAGAAGGGCGACACTGGATACTATGTTGGTGGTAGCGAGAGAGTGCCGACATTGACATTCAAGTTCATTGTGTTGCTCTTATTTGGCTTCTATCTCGGTGCATTGTGCTTTCTGCTTGGTACACAACTATCTGGTCTTCAGACTCTTCACTCTTCAGAGTGATATTGCAATTTGGTTTCTGACTATCATTCTTGCTCAATTTCCTTGCAGAAGCCAAGATAAAAAAAAAAAAAACAGACCAAATATTGCACTAGAAAGTCGAGTCAGGACATAAGCATGCACGATGGCGCACAAACGTGGGTGTGCAGACTTGTTGCCGGCCACAAATGAAAGAAAGGATAAGCTGGAGCGCATGCACTAGAGTTGAATAGACGCTTCAATTTTGGGCTTTGCCATTTTCCAGGGGGGGAAAAAATAGATTCACACCCTCACAGTCATTTACTAGGGGGAGGAAAGGGAAGGAGGTGTTTCTCCACCATTTGCGTACCGTTGTGCCGAACACTTGCATGAGTTTTACAGCACTGAGTTTTATCTTGCGTGGAAGAAGATCTCTGACTCCTGGTTTCTCCAGTGTCATCACGTGCGTTGGCAGGGACACATCTCCTGATACCACCTGCATTAATGGGAGGAAGAAAGGATGCAGGTTGCACCACACAGAACCAGCAGTTACTCGACTCCGCAAGCAGCAAAGGAAACAGAAAAAGGTAACGAGTCTAACGACAGGTTTTGTAGGATTCTTTTTTTTTTTTTACCATATACATGTTATACACACACAGAGTGAGGCAAGAGGGTCGGTTGAGAGGCAAACAAAGCCCACTGCTGCACACTGCGGGCATATATGGCAATGTTGGATGCTGCAACCAACCACGCATAACAAGGGGGAAACAAAACAAGGCGAAAACAAAACAAGGGAAAATTGCTCCAGTATACGTCTAAAAGGGCTAGCCCCATGGCATACCAGACACCCGAATAGCATACCAGTGCAATGACTTGCTGTTTTCTGGTCGCCTGTAGCCTCTCTCTGTCGAGGATGTACTATAGGTAGGACAGATTCGTAATTTTGTCTGGCTGAGGGCTAACCGAGAGACCTACCTGTGAGGGAAATTCTTGAGGGACATATCTGCAAATCCGGGAAAATACAGGCCCGGTACTAACTTGATTCCCTACAGCTACCCTAACTGCGGATAGCAGGCCCGGGCTACCCCTAGACAGACAGGCCCTATGGGCCTATTCTGAATAGACCGTCCTATAGCCTATAGCCGGGTCCGGTAGAGGCCGAGAGGCTGAAACAGATACGGTACCGGTCGGTCAGTCAGTCCGGTCTAGGTCGGTGTAGGCTAGAAGTAGGATGGGCACATCGGTTCAGGGCTTTTGCCAGTGGGTACCGTGTACATCGCTGCTGCGCTACGCGTGAACCGGAARTGGTGACGGCTCAGCGTGGAGGAAGACGGGCATWGCCAGACCATCGGAGCGCAGGCCATAGCTGGGACCTGCGCTGTACTCTGCCAGCACGCAGGGGCTGACAGAGGTCTGGGTTATCGAGGTCTGCTGGAGGCGAGACAGGCTGGTGCCCTGCTGGACCCTCCTCCGGAGTGGGGTCCCAGAGGGTTTGCGCTGCAGCCATAGCTGCAGCTTCTTCATCTCAGAGGTCATCTGATCAGGGTTTGGTGGCGCTGCTGCAGGCTTCCACCCCTCAGAGGCCTGTTTCAGGGTGGAGCTGCCCCCAGGAGTCTGTATTTGGGTGGCACTTGATGTTTCAGGGCTCAGGGGGTGTTCCGGGGGTTAGTCTGGGTTGGAGAGTGAAGTGCTGCTCAATTCTGAGCAGCGCACTGTAGTTCTGGAGTGATCTGGACATTTCGAGACTCAGAGTTTAATAAACAGTGTGTAACTGTGTTTGGACTATCATCGTTTCATTGTTTCCTGGATGTGATCTGCTCGGCTTTTCTCTATGACAGGTTGTGAGGATTGAATGGAGTGAATTGCACCTTCAGTGTACCCTGTCATATTGCATGGACAAGTCTTCCGCTGTGTTTATCTCTCCCTGTGCGGTGTGATACTCCTATCCTCTCCCCTTCCTTCTGTGTGTGTATGGGCATGTGCAGAAGTTTAAGTGAGTGAGTGTTGGCCTTCAGGCAACGTACAACCAGAATCATAACAGTTGGTATCAGAGCAATTGGATCCAGACTCTAGAGCGATTGATGAGTTGGAGCACCCATCATCACCTGGCGAGATACTGGAGTTGGGTTTCATGGCGATTCATCATCGTCAGGGTTGTTGTCAGTAGGGTGGTGGTTGTGAGTGTGTGGCGGGAAGCAACAGGCAGAGGGTGACACACTCCTGGCTAGGGTTATGCGGGAGTGAGTGGCGGTTGATAATCCAGAGGCCCATAAGGCTCTGGGGGGCTAATAATAGCCTCGCGATTCACCTGGAGGTTGGCGATTGTCAGTGAAGCGATCCCAGGAGGTTGCGATTTTGGAATTGGGTCAGAATCCCCAATTTCCAATCAGCGCTGTACAGGGTGATGTGGTGCTGTACTGTCTGGAGCAGTTATCAACACCTGGGAGTCCAAATTCGTTGAATCTGTCAGTTGGGGGTGAAGCGCCTCAGGGAATTCTACTAGATCACCAAGTTTGGAAGAATTCTGTACGTGGGAACAATGTATACTATCAGGAGGTGACACTGGCGAGATAGGGTTGACTATTCAGCCATAGCCAAGATTTCAAGCATCTTCTTCAGAGTTAACCCTGAAGTGAGTGTGTTCCTTACTCTATCCTGTGTGGCTATTCTGGGGCTATTTGTAGAATAGAGAAATTTGGTATGTCTGTCAGGTGACAGTTGAAAATCGAAATTCAGACTGTGGGACAGCCATATCCAACTTCTCCTACCTATCTTCTTTGACCTCTACTAACCCTGTTTGACCTCCCCTCTGACCCAAATTTCATCGGCTACTGCTGTACAGTGTTGCGATTCATATGGTACTGTAAATTGGATTGTTCAAGGGCCAGTTTGTCAGTGATACTGCAAATTTGAATTCTGCGCTGACATAGCCAAAGCTATGGTAGACTAGGGTCAATCATAACTTTGATTCTGCCCGTCAGAATTCAGTTCTGTCAGCCCCTGGTAAATCACAATTCAATATTCTACCAGTGCCTGAAATCGCACAGTCAGATTTGATGTTTTGAGTCAGTTACAGTGTTTGCTGTAGTTCGCCATACCCCAGTATGGCATCCAGGGTCATACAGTGTTGATGTCAACAGGGTAGGTCTAAAAATAGCTTTTCCTGTAAATCGCTGCATCTTGGTTATCAGTAGATACCTATCTAACCCTAATTAGTCACTCTGTGTGATTACTAATCAACACTAATTAGTCCAAGACTGCATCCTGTCAGTTGTTGATCGAGGATTTGCAATTATTGCATGCAATTGTTGAGTCAGGGCAGGGATGGAAAAATCGTGAAATTGGTTTTGCCTGAGTGGACTCTGAACTGACCCTGACCCTCAAGCGGTCTGCTGAGACTGAGCACTCATTTGCTCAGATTAACCAATCTCCTCTCTCCAGGCAGGTGACAACACTTGGATTAGTACTGCAGGGAACATCCAATTCCTGTTACCTCCTGTCTGTTCTTTGATTGTCATTGTTGTTTGTTTATTTGTCTGTATTGTGGGAAACAATATGGCAAAATCAAGGAAGGCTGAGGGAGTTGAGAGTTCTGGGGAGACACCCCAGGTAAAGCTTGAGATGATAGTGCAACCTGTAACACCTGTACCGCCTGACCCTTTAGAGGCTGAACTGCGGGCCCAAGAGGAGAAACTCCGCTTGCAGACCCAGGCAGTTGAGAACCTAAAGGCAGAGCTCAAGAGGAAGGAAGAGTATGCCCAGAAGGAGGCCAGAAGAAAAGTGTTGATTGGAGATATGCAGAGGATTATGAGCCTYGGTACAACCAGTCAGGCAAGTAAGGACATGGCAGAATTCATCCTTCTGCAGGATGAGATTCACCGGTCCTACTTTACTAACTGGGATGACCGAATCTCAGGTCTGGAGACCAGCCATTCAGCTTTGTCAAAGAAGCTGGATGACATCTCTCCTCAACTGAACAACATTGCCAAACAGCTGCAGATTACCCCTGTTCAGACTGTTCCCCTCTCTTCTGGCCCTTCTGCAGCACCTGTCCCAAAACCCCCACACTCCAGACCTTCATCCCCACCTCTCACACCCAAGTCACCAGCACCCTCCCAGTCCTCAGCCCCATTTGAGCCGCAGCGGCCCAAGCTGACCCCTCCACCAATGTTCTCAGGAGAAGATCCTAAGGTGGATGTGGCAGATTGGGTGACTGCGCAGCGAACCTACCTGAGTGGGTTCACATGCGACGAGGATGTGAAGGTGTCAGCCATCCTGGCCCGGCTGGAGAGGACTGCACTACAATGGTGCACCTCCACCTCCAGCAAGCAGGGGATGGAGATGGCTGATTGGGCGCAGAGGCTGGGGGTGGCTGGATTTCTGCAGGCCCTGCAGGACTGGTTTGCAGACAAGGAGCAGGCAAGAAAGGCTGCAGATAAAATGATGCGCCTGGGCCAGAAAAAGTTTGATGGCTCCTTGTCCAAACTGTATTCCACCTTTGAGAGTCTGACATCAACTCCAGGGTTGGAGATAAGTGAGCAGGATCTGCTCATTCATTTCCTGAGGGCAGTGCCTGAGCAATTCCAGCTTGCTCTCTTCTCTCAGGGCCACAAGAACTGGAGGTCCTTTGGCAGAGCAGGCCTGGACTTGGAATCCAAACTCCATGTCCAGGAAGCACCTTCTGAAGGAAGGAAGGGGCCCTCCTCCAAAGGGCGAAGGAGGAGGAAGGGAGCCCTCCACCTGGGACTGCATCATCATCAGCTGCAGATCCTGTTCTTGCCCTGGCTGATGCTTTGATGGGCTTGGCAAAGGGAAAGGCCCCAGCCCAGAAAGCACCAACTAGTCGCCAGGGGAAAGGGAAGGGACGTGCCTCTTCCCCTGGGCCCAGAGAGTACCTCTGGCCAGCTGATCCACTTGATCCTTCCACCTTCCCTTGGCATGCACTCAGGATCCAGGAGGGAGTTTGGAGGAAGAGGAAGGATAAGGGGATCTGCCTGAGATGCAAGGGGAACCACTTCCTCAAGGACTGTCCCAGTATGCCTCGTAGGTCTGCAGGCAGCTCTAGTTCAAAAAACTAGAGCAGAGAGAGGTGGAAGCAGCAGCTCCTTCCACCAGTGCTGATTCCCTCTCTGATGGAGGTGAATCTTCACATTCTCTCGCTGGTACTTTTATTTCCAGAGTTGCATTGGCAGGGTCTTTCACTTTTGAAAACTCTGAACTGGATGAGATGTGGGAGGAGGACGATGCTCAGACTATTGCTGATCTTTTCCTGTCTTTGCAGGAGAAGAAGAAGCACAAGTCTGAACTCATACTCCTTCGACCCTACATCCTGGGAGCCAAGATCAAAGGGGTCTTGGACTGTGGGGCTACTCGCAACTTCATCTCCCCCAAGGCAGTCAGCAAACTGCACTTGGATCAGAGGTTGGTGAAGTTGCGACAACCGTTGGAGGTCCGCATTGGGGACTCTTCCACAGTCAGGATTACCACTGTTGTCAAGGGCCTACCTGTGTCCTTTGACAAGCAGGGGGAAGTCAGGCATCGCCTGAACTTCTATGTGTTCCCTAACGTTCCCTTTGACCTTGTCTTCTCGATGCAGTGGCTTGGTGCCACCAATCCTAGGATTGACTGGCGGATTCCTAGGGTTGAGCTGCCTGACCGGCATGGGGTCTATCGCCCTTGTATGCTCGCTGACGAGTACCATCTGGTCAGCAGCTGTTATTGCATGAGTGCTCGCAAGTTTTTGCGATTCTCACGCCAGACTGATCACGCTCGTCTGTTTGTGGCTTATGTCAAACAGACTGACGTGGAGACTGCTCCCTGTCCCTTTCAAATTCAGCAGGTGGTAGACCGCTTCTCAGATCTTATGGAGGAGCCTACTGGACTTTTCCATAGGCAAACCAAACATAAGATTGAGATCCTGCTTGGCTCGGTCCCGCCCAAGGGCCGGGTCTACAGGATGTCTCCAGCTGAACTTGAAGAGCTCAGGAAACATTTAGAGACCCTGACCAGAAAGGGCTGGATCAGGCCCAACACATCTGAGTTTGGAGCACCAGTCCTCTTTGTTCCAAAGGGGAATGGTGAGTTCAGGATGTGCGTGGACTACCGTGGTCTCAACAAAATCACGAGGAAGTCTACAGAGCCCCTTCCTCGCATTGATGACCTGTTGGATATGGTGCAGGGCTGTACTATTTTCAGCAAGATCGATCTCAAATCTGGCTACCACCAGATTGAGATGGTTGAAGGCGATGTCCACAAGACAGCCTTCAAAACCAGGTATGGCACTTACGAGTACCTGGTCATGCCATTCGGTCTTTGCAATGCGCCAGGCACCTTCCAAACAGAGATGCACCGCATACTGAGGCCTTACCTGGACAAGTTCGTAGTTGTCTACCTTGATGACATCTTGGTATTCAGTCGTTCTGTCCAGGAGCATGCGCTGCATCTGGCTCTGGTCCTCCAGGCCTTGCGTGCTAACCAGCATAAGATTAACAGGGAGAAATCCTCCTTTGGGGTTCCCTCTGTAATCTATCTGGGACACGTGATTTCTGGAGAGGGGTTGGCTCCTGAGGCAACGAAAGTTGCTGCAGTTCAGGACTGGCCGCATTCGTGATGTCCGGTCTTTCTTGGGGTTTGCATCCTACTACAGGAAGTTCATCAAGAACTTCTCAGCGATTGCAGCTCCCCTGACTGATCTTACAAAGAAAGACACTTCCTTTCTTTGGACGTCAGAATGTCAGGAGGCCTTTACACGTCTCAAGGAGGCCCTGATTCGTGCCCCTGTCCTGAAGCTACCTGACCCTACTTTGCCTTTTGTACTGACTACTGATGCTAGCCAGTATGGTGTAGGGGCGGTACTTCAGCAGGATGATGGGAATGGTCTGCAGCCCATTGAGTATATGAGTAAGAAGATCAAGACCAAGAAGCTGCAGGACTCTACCTATGAGAAGGAGCTCTATGCTCTTGTGTCACCGCTTAAGCATTGGAAGCACTTTCTCCTAGGCAGGCACTTCAAGATCTTTTCAGATCACTCCACCTTGCAGTGGATGAAGTCCCAGGGAGAGTTGAATGACAAGCTTGCTCGCTATATCCAGTTCATTGACATGTTTGACTTTGAACTGAGACACAAGAAGGGTTGCTACAATAGAGTCGCAGATGCCCTTTCTCGTAGGCCTGACGCTCTCTTTCTGATCTCCTTTACTCACTCGTTTGGAGAGAGAACACGTCAGACCATTGCCCAGTTGCTGCCCCAGGATGAGATCTTTGGGCCTATTGTGAGGAATCTCTAGGACGATCCTGCCTCTGAACCAGGATATTCTCTGGTCTCAGTCCTGCTGTACACGTGCAGCAGAGGCGAGGAGCGCCTGTGCATTCCCCATGACCGCAAGCTGAGGACACTTCTGATGTCAGAGTGTCATGACGCTCGTGGTCACTTTGGTGCCCTCAAATCTTATGCAGCCCTGTCGCAGCGCTTCTTCTGGAAGGAGATGAGGAGTGACATGCTGCACTATGTGGAAACCTGTGAGTTGTGCCGAAGGAACAAGGTGGTACGTCGACCTCCCCTTGGCTTACTCAAACCCCTACCTATCCCTGATGCTCCTGCACAGTCAGTTTCTATTGATTTCACTGACTTGGGTAGGACCACACCACGAGGTATGCGTCAGGTCATGGTATGTGTGGATCGGTTTTCCAAATATGTAGAGTTCATCCCCTTACCAGCTGAGGCTCGTGTGCCCGCCGTTCAGGCGGCTTTTGCTGACAGGTGGGTTACACATCATGGACCACCCACCTCCATTGTCGGTGACAGAGATCCCCGTTTTCGCAGCAATGAATGGCAATCCTACTGCAGGGATTACCTTCATTCGTGGTTGGACATGACATCTGGTCGTCATCCTGAAGCCAATGGTCAGGCTGAAGTGATGAACCAGATTCTGTTCCAATTGCTGCGTCCTGTGATCAGTCCAGATCAGCAGGACTGGGATCTCCATCTGAGTCGTGCACAGCTTGTGTATAACACGTCTGTACACTCTCGACTTCACACCCTACCGGTTACACTGGGGTTGTGAACCACGGCAGCCTCTCGATGATATCATCGACAAGGCTACCCCTATGCTGACACCTGGAACTGCAGAGTTCACCAGGCGTTACCGTGTGGACATAGAGCGTGCCCGTGCCAACCTGTTGAAAGCCCAAAAGGCTATGATTCAACAGGCCAATAAGCACAGGCGTCCTTCTATGATTCGCACAGGTGACTGGGTGTGGGTACTTAGTTCTAAGCTGTCACGAGAGGAGGACATTTCGCCTAAGCTGCTGCCACGATATATGGGTCCATAGCAGGTCTTAGATACAATGGGAGCTGATCCGTTTGGACCGTCCTATAATGTGGACGTCCCTCTGCATCTACAAACCTACCCTGTCTTTCATGCATCTAAGCGCCAGCTGATGCATTTCCAGACAGGCCTCCTCAATTCGGTCCCCCTATCCCTGGCAAAGGGTATGAGGTCGAATCTGTGGAGGATGAGTCAGGGACAGGTCCAGATAAGGAGTATCTTGTGAAGTTTTTATACCAGCCACACACTGAAGATCGCTGGTTTACTCGCAAGGAACTCCTGAAGACAGCTAAG